AAGGAAGAAACCAAAAGGTGTATTTACCTCCAGCTTGCTACACATTATCAAAGGAAGAAAAACGGAGGTTTTGTGCTTGTTTGTATGATATTAAGCTTCCTTCTGGGTTCTCGTAAAACATGAAAAGGTTTGTTTCCTTAAATGGAGAATTGAAGTTGACAAGTATGAAATCCCATGATTGTCACATGATGATGCAAGTTTTCCTACCGATTGCACTTCGTGGAATTTTACCAAAGCACGTGAGAGAAGTTATAACAAGCCTCTGTGGGTTTTTCAATACTATCTGCAGCAAAGTTCTTGATCCCTTTACACTTGATGCTCTCCAGGCGACTGTTGTGGTAACTTTGTGCAAATTTGAGATGTTTTTCCCACCTTCACTTTTTGACATAATGGTGCATTTGATTCTGCATTTGGTTCGTGAGATTAAGTTGTGCGGTCCAGTATTTATGAGGTGGTGCTACCCTTTTGAACGACACATGGGTACACTGCAAGATAAAGTAAGAAATCCAGCCCATCCGGAAGGCAGTATGATACAAGGAATTGTGTCCGAGGAGATTGGGAATTTCGTAGCAGAGTATGTTGCCGTTGCCGAACCTATTTGGCTTCCTACATCCCGACATGAAGGGAGCCTTGATGGTCATGGCACAATTGGGTCAAAAAGGATCTGGGCTTCTCGAGATGAAATCATGCAAGCTCACTTATTTGTGCTTCATCATATTGCGGAGGTTCACCCATATTTAGAAGAGCACATGGATAGTTTGCGTGTTGAATATCCATCAAAAGGGGAAAGAGCACTAATGCAGTTGCATAATAAGATGTTTGTGAAGTGGTTCCATGATCGTGTGATGCGTCAATTGGATGAGACTGTGTCTGATACAATAAAGTGGCTAGCTTATGGTCCGAAGGAAGATGTTCATTCATTTGAGGGATATGATATAAATGGGTACACATTTTGGACTGAAAGTCGGGATCAGAATTCCTCATCGACTCAAAATAGTGGTGTCACTCTTGTGGCTTCATCAAGAGAGTTTGCCAGTGCGAAGGATACATCACCAGTTGACGCACTATTATCATACTATGGACGAATTCAGGAAATATGGGAACTAGATTACCGTGACTTTAAGGTTGGTATATTCAAGTGTAAATGGGTCGATAATAATAGGCGCAACGTGAGAAACGATGACTTCACTCTTGTAGATCTTGGCCACTTGCGGGATAGTCTTGAACCATTCATCCTTGCATCTCAAGCTAAGCAAGTGTTCTATGTAACTGACCCGTCCGATCCAAGATGGTCCATCGTCCTATTTGGCAAAAGGAGAATTTTAGGGGTTGGAGAGGTTGAGGACGAGGAAGAATATGATGCATTTGATGATTCTCCCCCTTTCACTGCTCCTACACTTGATGTAGCAACTGATGTAGATGATGATGCTACTTATATTCGATCTGACCACAATGAGGGAATACACGAATGAGGTACTTTTATTAATGCATGTTTCATTTACTAAATATCTTATGCTCCAACAAGTTTGTTTTTATTTCGGGAAGTGTTTTATTTTTTTTGTATTTTCAGCATATAAGCATGTAATATTCACTAAATATATGAATTGTTTAGAGGATTATATGTGAATTTGTTATGAAACCAAAGAAGTTGGGTAAGTGTTTGTCTTTCATCGTGCCTCAGAATTGATTGCCATTACTAATGACTAACAACATGCTTTGCTTGTTTACTGTAGGTGTGCACATATCATGGATCCTGATGAGAACCTTCATTCTGATGAGGATATAGATGATGATTCTGGGGACGAGTTGTATGATGTTAATAAGGAGACGGATATGGGGGAACCGGAAGACCAAGCTTATGACCAGTTCCAACATAAGCTTGATGAATTTGAGCGTATAGCTGAAACTGCCCCACCTATTAATGATAATGTGGTTACCGAATTTTTAGGTGATTCACATTGTGAAACTCAAATGCAAAGGCAAGTGAAAAAAAACCGGTGGTGGAGGAGGGGTAAAGCCACCGGTGAACAGAAAGAGTAGGGGTGCAACTAAAGCTTTCAAGAAACCCGGCGTTCCTATGGTGCTTGAGTTTGATGAGTTAGGTCAACCTACTGGCCAATGGCGCGACAAATTTTATAGTCAAGTTGGCATTCTAACTCGTAAAATACCAATCACACTTGAGTTTGCCGAGATACCTCACGGGTTGCTTCAAACATTTTGGGACGATACTATGGTAAGTATTTATTGCAATCAAACTTTTTTTTTTAAATTCATATATATCAAAAAAAAAAAAATTTGCAAAAACAACCCCCGGGCCTAACCCGAGGGCTGCAGCCGGCAGCTGCAGGTTCCTGGGCAGCTGCCCGGGGCTGCTGCAGGTTCCTGGGCAGCTGCCCGGGGCTGCTGCAGGTTCCTGGGCAGCTGCCTAGGCTGCTGCAGGTTCCTGGGCAGCTGCCTAGGCTGCTGCAGCTTTCCCGATTCTCGGGTTTTTTTTTTCCTTTTTTTTTCATTTTTTTTCTCTTGCCTAACGTGGATGTTTGCGCCAATTACAGAGTATGTTCCATATTCCTGATGAGCCGGCCAAGAGAAAAGTGTTTGAATCTTTTGTACAAGAGAGATTCAAAAACTTCAAGAGTTACTTGAGGACGAGATGGATCCATAAGAGAAGAAAGAGAAGACCAAAGAAAAATGTGCCTGCAGATGGAGAAGAAGAGAAACCTGATAAGAAACCGTGGGATTTATATCCACAAATAACGGTGGATGATTGGGAGAAGTTTTTGGAAAAATCTTCCACTAGGACCGCACTTGTATGTTTTTATTTATCAATAGAGTTGGCTACTCATATTTAGTTTCTTACAATGACTGATGCTAACATATATATCTGAATGTGTAGGAAAAAACCGAACAAGCTAGAATCAATGCCGGAAAGAAATTGTATAATCATCATATGGGTTGTAAGACCTTTGCGGAGTCAAGACCAAAGTGGGTCAAAGCGGGTCTATACCCCAAATCCATAATGTCATCAACTGATAAACCACTTTCTTCCTCGGTGACAACTTTGGTTACTCGTGCAATTGACTGGTGGTGTGCTATGCATGGGTTGGACAAGGAAACCGGCAAGTATGTCATGGAACCGGATAAGAAAGTAGTAGCAGATGCACTTGTAAGCAAATTTTTCTACTTATTAATTGTATTTCCTTGTCAAGTACATTGTACTTAGATCTGATAAATTTTTATTTGTTGTTAAAGCTCGAGCATACTTCGGAAGTGATTGAAGGCAAGCTGACTCCAAGCATCGCACATTATCCTTTCACCTTAGCTTTGGGAAAACCATACCACCCTGGGCGAGTAATTGGTTTTGGTGGGAAACAACAAGGGTGGGAGAAGGTGATGGGTTCAGAATACACCAAATCAGCAAAAAGCAGATCAAGTGTTAATTCGCCACATCGGATTGTTGAGAAGGATAAGGAATCAATTAAGGCGGAGATACGCGCGGAGCTGCAAGAACAGATGCAAAGTCAATTCAATGCCATTCTGAAGCACATGAACTTGCCGCCTTTGCCATTTCCCTCGAGTACCCCAGTAGACTCATGTAGTCACCCAGGAGACCCCGAGGACGATCCAGTAGTTGAGAGAGAGGTAATTTTAGTACTAGGACGAATTACGTCATATGAAGTTCGTTTAATGAGGTCGTTTGCATGTTTAATTATTTTACTTTTGCAGGATCCAAGTCCTACGGATGCAGAGTCACTGAAGAGAGCAAATCCGATGCCTGAACCTTTCCCAGATTTTAAGGTGAACTTCACTACCTAATCAGCTTTTCTTATGTTAGGCTTTCGTTTATTATTTCTTAATTTATGTCCTAACTCCTAACCAAATATGTAGGAAGAGACGCCTTGTGAGCTTCTTCACCCCGGGGAAACAACCGGTGGATAGTTGCAGCTGGTGGGGTATGGTAGTGCACAACCTTTTGACAAGGTGCATTTTAAGTCTAATACTAGCACCCATTACATCTCGGTCGGGATCGATTCTATAGTTGCTGGGTTTGATGACTTACCACTACCGGTGCCTAGAGAGGAATATGATTTTTTTTAAGCTGCGTGACGCGACCGGGAGCTTTGTGCAATGGCCACGTTATCGGTTGAGGTTGGTAGGAGGGGTAAGTAAACAATACTTGTATGTAACTACTTGTATGTAACTAGATTAACATGTGCTTTGTGCAATGACCATGTTTTTTTATGCTACTAGATTACTATGGAAATTCAGTCCGCTAAAAGAAAGAAGGTGGAGAAGCAAAAATCCAAGGAACAAGGACAAGTGTCGAAGAAGAGTTCGAGAGCTTCATGTACTCCACTAGTAGAAGCCAAAGTCCTTAGGTCGCTTTCGAAAGCATGTACTTTTCTTCACAACCGTGTTAGTGAGTTGCCTACGGGTACACATATTCAAGTGAACTTGCCTAAGGAATTGTTCCACTATGATGAGGATGTGATCGCATACATTTCTAGAGAGGATGTGACGGAATTTCTAACCGGTTCCATGCTTAACATATCCATCATTCAAACATTCATGAGGTAAATTATAGAGACTATTGCTAAAAATATTGTATTTTTGATATTTTCATACCAAAACAATACAACTAGTAATTACTTGCACACATTACTTTCTTGAAGGTCACTACAGGAGCTCCTTTCTAGTAAACCCGATGGTGAAGAAGCAGTTGGGTGGTTATGCCCCGAGCAGACCTCCGTAACCAAATGCTTGAATAACCCTCGTGATGTGATATATTACCTTGAGCGGGCTATTAGAGAATCAATGCGTGCGGGATACAAGTTCTTATTAACCCCTTGTTTTGAGGAGTAAGTGTAAATATATCACTCTTAGTTTGTTTGTTAAGTATAGATGTTGACGCATAACAATTGATTGATATGATATTTGCTTTAATATACATGTAGTCTACATTGGAGCCTTATGGTGATTTGTGTTTCCAATAACACAATCTACTACTTTGACTCGGCTCGTACCTGGCCACCAAGGAAGTTGCTAGTGAATAACCTATTGAATAGGTACATACCGCTTCCTATATATTGTTTTGTATCATCACTTAAGTGATTGAGTGACTACGTTCCTAAATCGTTTGTTTTTTATTTTTCTGAAGTGTTATGAAGAAGTTGAATTGTCGTTCGGTTGCGGGTCCCACGTGGAAATATGCGAAGGTAAAGCCTCGATATATTGAACTTTTAAAAAAATTGCCTTGAGTTTTGGCTATGCATGACTATTTTAACATTGTGTCATTTTAGTGTGCGCAACAAGACAACGGCGTTGACTGTGCCCTCTACGTGATGAGGTTTATGAATGACATAGTCAATAGGTGCACTGAAGCCCAACACATTGAGGAGGTACTTGTTTTTACTTTTTTCCGATTCGATTTCGGGTAAAAGCCGTCCTAAAACTAAGTATAATGCTAATTTGCTATGATTTCAAAAATTAGACACCTAAAACTAGTTATAATTGACATGTTATGATAAAGAAATTGCTCATTATATAAGAAATGTAGAAATCGGGCAACGTAGTAGTGAAATAGGCGATTTCGGGTAAAAGCCGTCCTAAAACTAAGTATAATGCTAATTTGCTATGATTTCAAACATTAGACACCTAAGACTAGTTATAATTGACATGTTATGATAAAGAAATTGCTCATTAGATAAGAAATGTAGAAATCGGGCAACGTAGTAGTGAAATAGGCGATTTCGGGTAAAAGCCGTCCTAAAACTTAGTAGAATGCTAATTTACAATGATTTCAAACATTAGACACCTAAGACTAGTTATAATTGACATGTTATAATAAAGAAACTGCTCATTAGGTAAGAAATGAAGAAATTGGGAAAGTGAGCACCCGAGGCAACAGCCTCGGGTTATGCTAGGCAGCTGCAAGCAGCCAGCCACCAAACTGCAACAGCTGCCAGGCAGACGTAGCAGCAGCCTAGGCAGCTGCCCAGGCACCAGCAGCAGTAGCCTAGGCAGCTGCACAGGCAGCTGTAGCAGCCACCAGGGAGCTGCACAGGCAGCTGCAGCAGCCACCAGGCAGCTGCTGCAGCAGCCTAGGCAGCATCCGTTCGTGAAACCGAGCCGTTCATGCAACTTTGTGTAATTTTTGCGTACTTGCATTGTTAGTGTATTATGGACAATGTTTGTGAAGAAAAATTCCAAACGGAAAAAAATATAAAAAAGGGCAAGTAGAAGTGGAAAAGGCGATTTTGGGTAAATGCCGTCCTAAAACTGAGTAAAATGATCTTTTGCTATGATTTCAAACATTAGACAACAAAGACTAGTTGTAATTGACATGTTATGATAGATAAATAGCTCATTAGATAAGAAATGTAGAAAACGGGCAAAGTAGAAGTGAAATAGGCGATTTCAGGTAAAAGCCGTCCTAAAACTTAGAATAATGCTAATTTTCTATGATTTCAAACATTGGACACCAAATACTAGTTGTAATTGACATGTTATGATAGATAAATAGCTCATTAGATAAGAAATGTAGAAAACGGGCAAAGTAGTAGTGAAATAGGCGATTTCGGGTAAAAGCCGTCCTAAAACTTAGAATAATGCTAATTTGCTATGATTTCAAACATTGGACACCAAAGACTAGTTGTAATTGACATGTTATGATAGATAAATAGCTCATTAGATAAGAAATGTAGAAAACGGGCAAAGTAGTAGTGAAATAGGCGATTTCGGGTAAAAGCCGTCCTAAAACTTAGAATAATGCTAATTTGCTATGATTTCAAACATTGGACACCAAAGACTAGTTGTAATTGAAATGTTATGATAGATAAATAGCTCATTAGATAAGAAATGTAGAAAACGGGCAAAGTAGTAGTGAAATAGGCGATTTCGGGTAAAAGCCGTCCTAAAACTTAGAATAATGCTAATTTGCTATGATTTCAAACATTGGACACCAAATACTAGTTGTAATTGACATGATATGATAGATAAATATCTCATTAGATAAGAAATGTAGAAAACGGGCAAAGTAGTAGTGAAATAGGCGATTTCGGGTAAAAACAGTCCTAAAACTTAGAATAATGCTAATTTGCTATGATTTCAAACATTAGACACCTAAGACTAGTTTTAATTGACATGTTATGATAGATAAATAGCTCATTAGATAAGAAATGTAGAAAACGGGCAAAGTAGTAGTGAAATAGGCGATTTCGGGTAAAAGCCGTCCTAAAACTTAGAATAATGATAATTTGCTATGATTTCAAACAGTGGACACCAAAGACTAGTTTTAATTGACATGTTATGATAGATAAATAGCTCATTAGATAAGAAATGTAGAAAACGGGCAAAGTAGTAGTGAAATAGGCGATTTCGGGTAAAAGCCGTCCTAAAACTTAGAATAATGATAATTTGCTATGATTTCAAACAGTGGACACCAAATACTAGTTTTAATTGACATGTTATGATAGATAAATAGCTCATTAGATAAGAAATGTAGAAAACGGGCAAAGTAGTAGTGAAATAGGCGATTTCGGGTAAAAGCCGTCCTAAAACTTAGAATAATGCTAACTTGCTATGATTTCAAACATTGGACACCAAAGACTAGTTGTAATTGACATGTTATGATAGATAAATAGCTCATTAGATAAGAAATGTAGAAAACGGGCAAAGTAGTAGTGAAATAGGCGATTTCGGGTAAAAGCCGTCCTAAAACTTAGAATAATGCTAATTTGCTATGATTTCAAACATTGGACACCAAAGACTAGTTGTAATTGAAATGTTATGATAGATAAATAGCTCATTAGATAAGAAATGTAGAAACCAGGCAAAGTAGTAGTGAAATAGGCAATTTTGGGTAAAAGCCGTCCTAAAACTTAGTTGAATGCTAAATCGGGCAAGTTAGATAGATGTTTGAAATATTTAACATATATACATTATTATTTTTAATTATTAGTTTGAATTTTATGTAATATATATGAATGATGTTTAATGTTTTGTATTTTTTGTTTTCAAAGGTTTGTAAAAGGGAAGACCCTTTGACAAAGGAAGAGGTTGATGAAATTCGCGACATGTGGGCTTTTTTTTGTGACATTTGATGGCATCTAGGTAGAATATATAATATATATGTGTTAGTTAGATAATGACTTGGATTGAGTTTTATTTTATTATTTTTTTATGAACAATAATAAATATTAATATTTAGTTGTTACCGTATCTTTTTTATTTTTATATATAGTACGTAAATCCATATGTACATTATATTACTTATTTGTAATTAGTACTATACATTATTTCTGAGTTTTATATATGTTATTATTATTATGCATTTTATAGTTATTGAATTATTATTATTCCAAAATTTGTAATATTTTTAATTAATTATTATTTATTAATATTAATTAATATAATATTATTAATTAATAATAATATTAATAATAATAATAATTTTTAAAAAACTGGAATAATGTGCTTCTCAAAACAGGTCACTAATAATATTATTATTATTAATTATTATATATATTAAAAAAAAAAAAATTACAAATGGGAAGCGGTTTGGCGCCAAAACCGCTTCCCATTTTCATTGCACATAATGTTATGTGAAGTGCAAATGGCAATTGGCAAGCCCCCTAAACCCATGCGGTTCAGACCCGCTTCCCATTTGGGGGTTTGAACCGCTTCCCATAATGTTTTTTCTACTAGTGTTATTTTCTTTTATTAGATGGTACGAGAACGTAAAACTGCAAGAAAGTCGAGTGCTAGGAAGAGTACACATGTATTACCTGATTCTCCTTACATGGTCCGTATGAAGTACAATGAAAACATTCGACATTACGTGAACCGTTTAAATCTCTGCATTGAACATTTCCATTACAATGTACTTGAGGGTCAATCTGATTACCTTACTCCGGAGAGACGATCTCAAATTCTTTTACACACACTACACTTAAGGGGACCTTTTTCTCAACTTAAGAAGAAATATGCTGACTTATACATCAATGGTGAACCAAATGATAAATATTATTATGACGGAAGATGGATCCCTAATTCCCTACTGTGGACTACCTTGAGAAGGCAATGATGAAAGCCAAGCGAGACTTTGACTATATCCTAGATGATGATGAGGAGGATGAGCCCCAGGAAAGTGAAGCTCGTGAGAGTCAAGGGGAAAATAATAATTGATTTTTTTTTAAAAAGCCGCGTTTAGTTTATTTGGTTAAAATTTTACCAATAAAAGCTAGTTTCTTATAACTAGAAACTATAGTTTTTGTTTATTTGTAACTAGTAGTTTATTGAGCTATTTAGTATTAGTATTTTATTTCAAAGACGATTTTCATTCTCTTTTGGTTTTGCAATAAAATAATTTTGATTAACATATTTATGCTTTGCTATTTTATTATTATTATTAATTAAACGTAATAAAGTCATTTCATTTTTCTATCTATTGTCTCTATATAGAACAAAGCTCTTATTTTCTTATGCTTACTTTAGTCTAGACTAGTAATGACTTGGTTGGGTGATAGCGAAATCACAAAACACTGTACGAATTTGTAGTCTAATGTTAAGTTGATGCATTATTTGGTTTGGAATTTGGCCAAATCTATGAATGCTAATGAGATTTAATAAATCGCTCAATTCTTGTCTATATGTGCTGATGTGTTACATGAAAGAATGTGGTTGATGATTTAATTGCAATTCACACGATCTAAATAAGTCGTGTTAAAATGTGAATGGTGGTAACACCAGTGTTGAAATTGTCAGACTGTGTATGCAAAATTACCACGTTTACACCAGGTCTCGTTGGAGAAGAATTGCACAAATGGCTGAGACTCCTGAACAACTTGCTGCTAGGTTAAGAGCTCTTGAGCAAATGAACCAGAACCTTGGAATGTTGTTGCAAAACCAGCTGAATAACAACAACAACCATAACAAAAATGACAATGACCATCAAGCTGCTATGGCTAAGAAACTTGCTGCATTGAAACTTCCACTATTCATGGGGAAGGAAGATCCCATGTTGGTTGAGAACTGGGTACGTGAATTTGAAAATATTTTTACTGCTGCTGGTACCCCTGATGCTCAGAAGGTGGATCAAGCCACATTCTATTTACGTGAGGCTGCTGAAATTTGGTGGGAAAATGAAGGAGCCACTATAAGAGCTCAACAAAATTTTAACTGGGAAGCTTTTAAGAAAGCAATCAGGGATCATTTCTTTCCTGAACACATTAAGAGACAGAAGTACAGTGAGTTTAGTAGGTTTAACCAAACAGCTGGTATGAGTGTGCAGGAGTATGCTGAGAAATTTAATGAGTATGCTAGGTTTTGTCCCAATTTAGTGCCTGATGAGATATCCAAGGCTCAGAAGTTTGAAGATGGATTGACTTTTAAGATCCAAAAGAAGGTGATTGGGGCTGGTACTGCTGCTACTTAAAAGGTGGCCTATGATAGAGTTTGTAATATCGAAAGAATTTTGAAATGTGAGTAGGAGGTTAAGGATAGACATAATAGGAAAGGAAATGGCGAGAGTTCATCGAACCCTCAAGGTTATGACAAGAGACCACGCCTCGGGGGTAATAGCAATGGGAATGTTGGAAATGGTCATCAAGGAGGCCATAACAACAACAATCGAAGCAATAACCACCGGGTCCAGGGACAACAGAATCAGCAAGGATCTCGCAATCGACCATGCCGTGAATGTGACAAGAGCCATCCAAGACGCAACTGCAATGGAGATTTGCTTACTTTCTTTGAATGTGGGGAGGTTGGTCACAAGAAATTTGAGTGCCCAAAGAAGAAGAATGGTAATAATCAAGCTCAGAATGGGCAAGGCAAAAACAATGGCAATAATGGAGGTGGTTATGGGAGGAACTCAAACTACAGCAACCGTTTTAACAACAACAATTCTCAGGGCCAAAATGACAATGCTCAAGGAGGGAATTGCCAGAACAACAACAATAGCGGAGGAAGCAACCACAATGGCAATGGTAGGACCAGTAATGGAAGAATCTATGTCATGAACCAGAGCGAGATTGACTCTAATGTCAACGTTGTGACGGGTACTTTTCTCGTGAACTCAAAATCTGCTTACTTACTTTTTTATTCTGGGACATCTCATTCTTTTATAGCCACTTCTTTCGTGAATAAACATGCTTTAAAACCTTCATCTTTGTGTCAAACCAATATAACAATTCCTTCAGGGGAGGTAGTTCCTTGTAGATCCCTATACCAAGACATTCTAGTTAACATTGCTGGAACTGAGTTGCTTGCAAACCTTATTCAGTTTGACTTAACTGACTTTGATGTGATATTGGGGATGGATTGACTTAGAAAGTATAAGGCTATAATTGAGTGTCATACTCAAAAGGTTTCTGTTAGGGGGCTAAAGGGGAATAAAATCTCTTACCAGGGAGTTGTGTTAAAACCAGGGATCAGTATTGTGTCAGCCATGAATTTTTATTCTTATATCCAAAAGGGCTACCCTATTTATTTATGCCATGTGCAAGATGTGAGTGTAGAAGTGAAATCCATAGAAAACATTCCAGTGGTTAGAGAATTCCAAGATGTGTTTCCAGATGAAATTCCAGGGATGCCGCCGATTAGGGAGATGGATTTCAAAATAGACTTAGTGCCTGGGACTAGAGCTATTTCTAAGGCACCATATAGAATGGCACCAGCAGAGAGGAAAGAGTTGAAAGTACAGTTTGAGGAGTTGCTGGAGAAAGGTTATATAAGGACAAGTGTTTCACCTTAGGGAGCACCCGTTTTGTTTGTGAGAAAGAAGGACGGATCCTTAAGGTTGTGTATTGAATACCAAGAGTTGAATAATGTCACTATAAAGTACAAATATCCATTGCCTAGGATAGAGGACTTGTTTGATCAGCTTAAAGGTGCTGAGATATTTTCAAAGATTGACTTGAGGACGGGATACCATCAGTTGAGGATTGCTGAGGAAGATATACCAAAGACAGCTTTTCGCACGAGATACGGCCATTATGAGTTCACTGTTATGCCTTTTGGACTCACTAATGCACCGGCAGCTTTTATGGATCTCATGAATATAACTTTTCAGCTATATTTGGATAAGTTTGTGGTGGTGTTCATAGATGATATTTTGGTGTACTCGAGGGATAGAGAAGAGCACGAAGAACATCTAAGAAAAGTGTTGGAGATTCTTAGAGAAAAGAAGTTATATGCCAAATTTTCAAAATGTGAATTTTGGCTAGAGAAGGTAGCATTTCTAGGCCATGTGATCTCAAAGGAAGGAGTTGCGGTGGACCCATCAAAGATTCGGGTAGTTTCTGATTGACCAAGATCCAAAAGTGTGACTGAAGTGAGAAGTTTCTTAGGGCTTACTGGATACTATAGGATATTTGTGCAAGACTTTTCGAGGATAGCTCAACCCTTAACAAATTTGATGAAGAAAACTACTAAGTTTTAGTGGGATGAGAAGTGTGAACAATCTTTTCAAGAATTGAAGCGAAGACTCACCTCAGCACCAGTCTTAACCTTACCATCAGGGACCGAGGGGTTTGAAATCTATAGTAACACATCTAAGAATGGCTTTGGATGTGTACTTATGCAACATGGGTAGGTTGTAGCTTATACATCAAGGCAGCTCAAGCAACATGAACATAATTACCTTACTCATGATTTGGAGCTAGGAGCTGTAGTGTTTTCTCTCAAGATTTGGAGACACTACTTGTATTATGTGAGATTTAAGGTGTATACGGACCATAAGAGTTCTTTAATACTGTAGACATCTACTTTTAGCCTCCTGTCCCGACAAGAAGTGCAATGACGATAAATAAAACCATCTTCGTGTTGGATCAAAGTAAAGAATGCTTATGGATAACTGGTTAAGCCACAAAACACAAAAGACTAGCCCAGATAAAAGAACAAAGGCCAACACAAGGTCCAAATTAAATAAACCCGATCATAATTGCTTAAGCCCGTGCTTAAAACCCAATAATGACGGATTTAGGAGCGTCTAGGTTAAAATAAAAGTTTCCGCGGAAAATATCGCGCGCATCTCACAAAGTCGCGCTCAGCATTCGCGCGCAACTTTCAGAGATGCGCTCGCGTAAGATCCAGAATATTAAAATATTGGAAAATCGAATCTTACCATAGAGCTACGGCAGGACAAATAGTTGCGCGCGTATATCGCGCGCGACCTATTCACTTGCGCGCGCAACCTACTCACTTGCGCGCGACACCTGCTACGGCAGAATGCTCTAAACCTTAAACCTAATCATTCCCTATAAATAAGACCCTAATCCGAGGCTTAAAGACACATAAAATTAACCTAAACGCTGGCAGAATACTTGTGAACTTGTGCATCCAAACCCTCTTGTCCTAAACACTCACCCTTTTCGATATTTTGTTACTACGGTGGAGGTTCCCCAACAAGAAGGAGTCCATAAGTGTTCTAAACGGAGATCTAGCAAAGAGAAGTGGTGAATTCCCGAGCACTTAGTTAAATCACCATTATTTTTATTGTTTAAAAGAACTTTAATTAATTAATTAGTGTTGTTTGATCGCCTTAAAATAATAAATTAATTGATTTCACATAGTATTCTTTCGTTAATCAAGATTAGAATTGAATAAAATAATTGTTAATTGATCACCTAAGTCAAGGCGAATATTGTTTATTTTATTGTTCTTTTCACGAATTTGATTAAATAAGAATAACGACCTTACGATGTAATTCCTATGTGAATTAATGTGTGTAAATAAAATCAATTAACATAGTTTTTAGGTATCACGTTGCATATATTGTTTGGTGTAGACACCCATTTGTGTCTCTCCAAAACCAAACCCGGTGATGAGTACCTTTCACGTCGAATCATAATCGAATAAAGTGAAAGCGTGGAAAGTTTAGTGTTGCGAATAGTTTTAATTTCTTTTCTCTTCTCTCTGTTTTTGAAAACATATTTTAAGAAAACAGCCAATACAATTTTTTTGGTCCATGATATGGGTCCAATAATAGTGTAGTTAGATAGGGCTTGAAAAGAGCTTTCCAACGATATATTATAAGCCCAATTCCGATGAATATTGAGGAAGTTATGGCCAAATTACTGAAGTGAGCCCGGTTTGAGCCTTATATGCGGCCCAATGATCTAGAGGAGGGCCTAATATGGATTTATCATTCCTAATGCAATTAGGAATGGTTTTAGTCTTCTAGATTCTTCTAGAAAGTGCTTTTCATTCCTAATTCAATTAACATTGATAAATTGACTTTTGTTGACTTTTCAGAGTTTTAATTAAGATCAAAGAACGTTTTTGAGTAAAATACGATTTTATCCTCCTGTACGGCAATTTCTATCTGATTTTAAGAAAACGCGTGAATTTCTCAGTCAGCGCCAAACGCCAGCTGTAGCGCCTGACACTACGCTTGGCGCCTGGCGTTAGCCTCAGCGTCTGGTGCTAAGGTTAGCGTTTGGCGCTAATCTGGCTTTTTGCGTCAGTACTCTGTTTTTGATGTTTTATCTTTTAGGCTGATTTTCTCTATAAATGTTGTAAAAACTCCGTTTTCATTCACCAATTCTCACCAACTCTCATTAAGAATTTCTTGATTTTCTCTCTCTTTCTAAGCCAATCCTTTTACAAACACAATTCCTCATACATTAGCACTAGACATACCTAGCATTGTTCGAAGTTGCTTTCGCCCTAGACGTGAAAGGTTTTAATTTCTGAGGGTCTGGTTCCAAATATTTATTTCAATTATTTAATTTAATTGTTTTAATTATTATTTTCCTTGAAGTTATTTCGTTATTAGAAAGAGGTACGAGGCATCCAAGTAAGTGCTTTAATGGTTTTTATTGATGTTATGGCTTAGAAATCATGTCTAGGTTGTTATTTTGATTCCTAGTATCATGTTAGGATGTTTTTCTTAATTTGATGTTTAAGTGACAACAATAAATTCCTAGTGTCATGTTTAGGGTAAAAAATATAATGTCAATTATGATTTCTATGATGCCTTTTATTGTCTTTCCTAATAGCATGTTAGTATCATGTTAGGGTTAAAGCTTTGATTTTTATTGTTTAGTGACATGCTAGGATTTGTTATTAATCTTGTTAGTATCTTGCCTAGGATCTTGCTATTATTATGCTTTTACATTATTATGATTATTTGTATGATTTATGATTATAATTGTTATAATTATTGTTATGATGATTATTTTTAATTATAATTGTCATGATTATTATTATTATTATTATGATAATAATTGTTATTGATTGTTATTATGTTGCTTGACATTTATTGTTATTGCTTGATCACACCTTTAATGCATGTTTAAAGGGAATTTTATACTTGTAATAACGCTTAATAAGATAATTAATAATCTTGTTTAGGGTTAATTTGATTATAATTCAAGTGATCGCCAATAATAGCTTTATTTGTGCATTAATATTCAACCAACATAGATAAACAAGTTTAGGGTTAAACCTATTGATTGCATGTTAGTCAGAAAGCGCACATGAATACGATCAGAATAAAGTAGAGGCCTATTATTAGGGCAGGTTCAATCTCTTTTAGGTTGGATTTGTACCTTCATCCCCGAACTCTATTTGGTTCAAGACCTATTGGAGTTAACGATCTCTTGGATCGTTGAGGGGTGTAACCTTCACCTCGTGAACAGTTTACAAGTTCCTAACAAAAACTTGTTGGCGACTCTTTTGCTCTATTTTCTTTCCCTTTGGACGCCACCATACTTTAGTGTATGATCACAGTGGGGTTCAAGCTAGGGGATTAACGCTTGAAATATTCCCTACAGTTTTTAGCGACTCCACTGGGGACGATTTCTATTTTAATTCCTGAATTTGTTTCGGCAATGATTTAGAATGAGTGGATGAGACTCGAAACGTTCTAAGTATTTCATGTGCGCAATTTTGATTAACATTATTGTCATATGCATAAAAAAGATCTCATTGGAAAGACCATCTGTAATGAGTTAAAACATAGGATTTTACACGTAGAAAATTTGAGAAATATCTTTCACAACTAGGACAAAAATAACACTGCACAAAACTGGAAAATTTTATCGAGCACAGAAAGCTGCTGAGGCATGTAGGAATTAGCGTCAGCGAACAGAATATTAGCGCCAGACTTTTAATTGTAGCGCCAGACGATAGTTCTGTCGCCAGGCGCTACAGCTAAAACCTGGCGCCAATCTCTGTTTGCTGGCGCCAAATTCTTCCAATACCGAGCCAGAAATATGCGTTCTAATTTCGACTAGTTTTTCGCATTGTTTGCTTGATCCTACTTCCTGATTGAGTTTTTTTCTCACTTTTCTGAAACCCATATGTGTTCTAAATATGGAC